AGCCGAAGCTGCCTTGCTCACGGGCAAGGACAACAAGAAGGAGAGAGCCGCGAAGGGCAAGGAAGCGGCGGAGCTGAAAGCCGAGCAGTGCTACGTGGACGCCTGCAAGATCGTGAAGGGTCTGGAGCCCAAGTTCGGCTACTTTGTGACCAAGGCTGCGGAAGTGCCTGTGGCTCCGCCGCCAGCGGAAGAGCAACCAAAAGCGGAGAAGGCGAAGAAGGAGACCAAGAAGGAGTCGAAGAAGGAGTCGGCCGGCCTCAGCCCTGCAGAGACCAAGGAGCTGGAAGATCTGAAGCAGCAGATCGTGGAGAGAAAGGCCATCCTGAAGGAGCAGGGCTTGAGCGGGGGACAGCAGAACAAGGACGAAGAGATCGTGAAGATGGTGAATCGAATGAACGAGCTGAAGGAGAAGCAGGACCCCGGAAGCAGCAAGAAGGAGAAGGACGCCAAGAAGGACTCCAAGAAGAAAACGCCGCTGAGTGCCGAGGAGCAAAAGGAGTATGCCCAGCTCCAGAACGAGGTTGAGATCTACAAGGCCAAGCTGAGAACGGAGTTCGGGTACAGCAACAAGGAGATGAAGGCGGACCCAGACCTGAAGGACATGGAAGCACGGCTGGCCGCCCTTGAAAAGCGCAGCTGAGAGGAGCACGGGGCTGGACGGTCGGAATGCCGCCAAGCCCGAAGAAAAGTTAATGTACCATGGGGTCCATGGCTTTACCGTGGATTCATGATGTGCCATCATTTGCCAGCGTTTGTCCGGGGTCAACAGCTTAGAACACTCGAACATTCTTGTCCATGCATACTCACACCGATTTTCCCGGACAGACTGCTATCTCTGCGGGCTGACTCAACCAGCAGTCGGCTGTTCAATGGTTTATCAAAGGAGTCGCCAGGCGAGGTCCAAGTTTCGATACCATTTGAAGTCTTTGAAGTGTACAGGCGAGTTGGTTTGACATTGCCAGTTTCTATTGTCTGTGAGGGCTTGCGCTTGGAACGGGAGATGCCTCATGCAAGTGCAACAAAATGCGTGCAGCGCTGAATGATCAGATCATACTGATCTGGTAGACATCAGTGCCAATTTGTTGATCACTTGTTTGTTCATGTTAGACGCAAACATGGTTGCAACATGATGCACATCGCATTGCAGCTTCCTTTTGATGCTGATTTGTGTGCATGCCTTGTTCGAATGTGAGTGTGTTGCATCGTTTTTTTGTGATCATTTTGGCGGAAGATTCCTCTCAAGTTTCGAGATCTCTCCCACAACTGGCCTTGCGCGCTGTTCCTTCGATGGCGGCTGTCGAAGTAGTACGCGGAACAGGTGGCATGCTCAGCCAGGCAGAGGAGGGTATGAAGCTGTTTGCGCAAGCGGCCGGCACGGCGGCGGAATTCGACCGAGCCGGCGCGGAGAAATACAAGGCCCAGGTAGAGACGCGCATTGCTGCCTTGGAAGCCGAAGCTGCCTTGCTCACGGGCAAGGACAACAAGAAGGAGAGAGCCGCGAAGGGCAAGGAAGCGGCGGAGCTGAAAGCCGAGCAGTGCTACGTGGACGCCTGCAAGATCGTGAAGGGTCTGGAGCCCAAGTTCGGCTACTTTGTGACCAAGGCTGCGGAAGTGCCTGTGGCTCCGCCGCCAGCGGAAGAGCAACCAAAAGCGGAGAAGGCGAAGAAGGAGACCAAGAAGGAGTCGAAGAAGGAGTCGGCCGGCCTCAGCCCTGCAGAGACCAAGGAGCTGGAAGATCTGAAGCAGCAGATCGTGGAGAGAAAGGCCATCCTGAAGGAGCAGGGCTTGAGCGGGGGACAGCAGAACAAGGACGAAGAGATCGTGAAGATGGTGAATCGAATGAACGAGCTGAAGGAGAAGCAGGACCCCGGAAGCAGCAAGAAGGAGAAGGACGCCAAGAAGGACTCCAAGAAGAAAACGCCGCTGAGTGCCGAGGAGCAAAAGGAGTATGCCCAGCTCCAGAACGAGGTTGAGATCTACAAGGCCAAGCTGAGAACGGAGTTCGGGTACAGCAACAAGGAGATGAAGGCGGACCCAGACCTCAAGGACATGGAAGCACGGCTGGCCGCCCTTGAAAAGCGCAGCTGAGAGGAGCACAGGGCTGGACGGTCGGAGTTCTGAGTCCGCCAAGCCCGAAGAAAAGTTAATGTACCATGGGGTCCATGGCTTTACCGTGGATTCATGATGTGCCATCATTTGCCAGCGTTTGTCCGGGGTCAGCAGCTTAGAACACCCGAGCATTCTTGTCCATGCATACTCACACCCATTTTCCCGGACAGGCTGCTATCTCTGCGGGCTGACTCAACTAGCAGTTGGCTGTTCAATGGTTTATCAAAGGAGTCGCCAGGCGAGGTCCAAGTTTCGATACCATTTGAAGTCTTTGAAGTGTACAGGCGAGTTGGTTTGACATTGCCAGTTTCTATTGTCTGTGAGGGCTTGCGCTTGGAACGGGAGATGCCTCATGCAAGTGCAACAACAATGCGTGCATCACTGAATGCTCAGATCATACTGAACTGGTAGACATCAGTGCCAAGTTGTTGATCACTTGTTTGTTCATGTTAGGCGCAAACATGGTTGCAACATGATGCACATCGCATTGCAGCTTCAGTTCAGTTTGATGGTGAGTTGTGTGCATGCCTTGTTCGAATGTGAGTGTGTTGCAGCCTTTTTTTGTGTAATCATTTTGGCGGAAGTTTCCTCTCAAATTTCGAGATCTCTCTCACAACTGGCCTTGCGCGCTGTTCCTTCGATGGCGGCTGTCGAAGTACGCGGAACAGGTGGCATGCTCAGCCAGGCAGAGGAGGGTATGAAGCTGTTTGCGCAAGCGGCCGGCACGGTGGCGGAATTCGACCGGGCCGGCGCGGAGAAATACAAGGCGGAGGTAGAGACGCGCATTGCTGCCTTGGAAGCCGAAGCTGCCTTGCTCACGGGCAAGGACAACAAGAAGGAGAGAGCCGCGAAGGGCAAGGAAGCGGCGGAGCTGAAAGCCGAGCAGTGCTACGTGGACGCCTGCAAGATCGTGAAGGGTCTGGAGCCCAAGTTCGGCTACTTTGTGACCAAGGCTGCGGAAGTGCCTGAGGCTCCGCCGCCAGCAGAAGAGGAGCCCAAAGCGGAGAAGGCGAAGAAGGAGACCAAGAAGGACTCGAAGAAGGAGTCGGCCGGCCTCAGCCCTGCAGAGACCAAGGAGCTGGAAGATCTGAAGCAGCAGATCGTGGAGAGAAAGGCCATCCTGAAGGAGCAGGGCTTGAGCGGGGGACAGCAGAACAAGGACGAAGAGATCGTGAAGATGGTGAATCGGATGAACGAGCTGAAGGAGAAGCAGGACCCCGGAAGCAGCAAGAAGGAGAAGGACGCCAAGAAGGACTCCAAGAAGAAAACGCCGCTGAGTGCCGAGGAGCAAAAGGAGTATGCCCAGCTCCAGAACGAGGTTGAGATCTACAAGGCCAAGTTGAGAACGGAGTTCGGGTACAGCAACAAGGAGATGAAGGCGGACCCAGACCTCAAGGACATGGAAGCACGGCTGGCCGCCCTTGAAAAGCGCAGCTGAGAGGAGCACGGGGCTGGACGGTCGGAGTGCCGCCAAGCCCGAAGAAAAGTTAATGTACCATGGGGTCCACGGCTTTACCGTGGATTCATGATGTGCCATCATTTGCCAGCGTTTGTCCGGGGTCAGCAGCATAGAACAGTCGAGCATTCTCATCTATGTACAGTCAAACCCATTTTCCCGGACAGACTGCTATCTCTGCGGGCTGACTCAACTAGCAGTTGGCTGTTCAATGGTTTATCAAAGGAGTCGCCAGGCGAGGTCCAAGTTTCGATACCATTTGAAGTCTTTGAAGTGTACAGGCGAGTTGGTTTGACATTGCCAGTTTCTATTGTCTGTGAGGGCTTGCGCTTGGAACGGGAGATGCCTCATGCAAGTGCAACAAAAACGGTGCCTGGCCTACCGATGACGTCATCTATGAGGCGCGTCCAGCTTTCTAGGACCCCCAGCATCATGAGCATCATACATATCCCAGCCTCGTCGATTGTGGGGTCAATTCGGGGGGAGCCTCGCATTGTTTGTTGCTTCATCCAACCCCAAGGCATCCGTCAGACAGAGACACACCCTTTTCGACTTTTGAGGCGCCCTCTAGCAGGTAAGAAGGGCTTGCAGCTTTAAGAATTTGTTGAATCCTGGTGGTAGGTTGGGGTGTGTATTGTTCAAGGGGATTCTTTTGGGGTTGGTTTAGGAATATATGAAGGCAACTGTTTATTTGAAGGTCCCCCTGTTTGAGACCCGGTACATTCTACTGTACCAAACGCCTGTTTTGCTCACCACAAGCGCGCTGGATGTTCTAGTTATCGCAAGGAACAGGGAAGGTTTGATCTTTAAATTGAACCCCGTATTAGTAAGCCTCTGCTTGATTTTGATCGGGTGCCCGGTCTTAGTGAGAACACTTTTGGATGACCCCCTAGATCCGGGGTCAACACTAGCAAGGTGCCTGGTTTTCGGTACCCCGTGGTTTCTGGTTTACCATGATTCATGGTTGACTTGCTGGTGCTCAGCAGGAATGAACCGGCACGGGATTCCCTTAAAGGAAGCGCCAAATCGGGGATGGTGTTTCTTGGTCATTCCGAGTCATTCCATTTCTTATTCCTGGCCTATCGAACCAGCAAGTTCTCCATGGTTTGGTTTGTTTCGGAAATCCATCGTACCCCTCTTCCTGGTGCGATAGGGAATGTGGGAATGAACCCAATCCGGTCCCCTTAAAGGAACCCACCAGTTGGACGTTTTTTGGGGGCTCATGTCATTTCATTCCCTGCATCTCGAGAGCGCCAGCAAGTGACCAAATCCGTCAAACCAGCAAGTGGGCATGGCTCAAAATTAAAGATCTGGGGTTACGCAGGTTTTGGTCCATGTTTCCACTTACCAGGGTTCCATTTTGGTACCGGTTTTTTGAGCCACAGCCAAGCAATGATCATTCCCTCCCTGACCACCAGCCCTTTGAGACCGAGAGGTGCACAAAGTCTTGCCGGTGCCGCGCTCCATCGACGGCCTGCGGGGCACACAAATGGCCGCCGGAGTGCCAAGGGTCGATTTGCGTTGCCGCGAAAACGTGGCGGTGCCCACGCCTTTTCGGAGTCTTCCTTGTTCTTTTTATAGAAACCAAAAGGCAGCCGTTGATAGAGAAGCGACCCCAAAGTGAACAACCGCTTCCATTTGCTTAGAACAAATACATGTTGTTTGGTTTCCCCTTTTGGTTTTAAGGGAAATCTATCACTACTTGTTTTTGTTCGTTTGCCTTTACAAAACAAAACGGACACCGCAGCGGATGGGTTTTCTAGGAGTCATTCCAACTCATGCCTTGAGAACCAGCAAGATTATCAATTTTAGCAGGGATTGGCAACCAGCTCCAATTTTCTTTAGAATGTATTGTTATATCCCCAGTTTGGTTTGAAAGAGAATCGAGCACTACTGGACATAGTATTATTTTTTTTCTGGGGCGCTGAAGCAAATGGAAGCTGTTTGGGCACTATGGTTTCAGGAAAAGTGGCTGGGGTTCCACAAAGCGCCCTTGAGCTGGCAATAGGAATACCCCAGGGAAAAGAAGAGCATTTCTCAAGATTCCCGATTTCAGGAATTGACCATTTTCGCCACCCCTTGGAATGGAATTTCTGGTTCCATTGTCCCTTCTCCGGAAAAAAACAAAACCTGGAACGGCGGTCGACACCAGGGAGTAGGGTCAAAAACGGGATTTCTAGTTGTACTTCGACATGTAAGTTGCGTTGGATGGCAGATCCCCCATTGCTCATTCTTTTGGGAAGCCACCCGGGCAACTGCTGCCCTATCCGGCATGGAACCGGACGTGGGCCTTCATAAGGCCTTATTTAGCGGCTTATTATTTGGGCTTTTTCCTCTCCCTCCCCCAGCCCCATGAGGATGGGGAAAGTACAACTGGAGCGAGCACCTTCTCGCATGTTTTCTGCACAAGTTGAGGTTGAGAAGCTGCGGAAAGCGCGCCTGGTGAAGATCGAGGAAGGCAGCTCCGGGTGCCGGCGCTTCGCCGTATGCACACCGCCAAAGTGGTACTCCCCGCCAAAGGCTTCACACATCTGAAGAGGCGACATTAGAGTGACTAGGTCCCCCAGTAGTGCCCATTAATCCTTTTTTAGGGGAGGGTTCAGGACCCTACTAAAATAGACGACAGAAAAAATGAGTTGGTACCCTTCTTCTATCCTCTACTGGAGGACCTACTAGCCTCGCTGGCGAAGCCGGATGAAAACCGCCACAATCTTCAGGGTACTCCCATCCAAAGGTGGCTTGAGACATCAGCAGAGGGCCACGTTGCGAGCTTCTTTTGGGATGAAAGCAGACGAATTTGGTTGACGCCTGGAGCAGTCTGGCTGAGACATGGGTTTTTCCTTGGCTCATCAAATGGCATGAATGTTTGAATTTGTTTCCAAAAGCAGATAGTCCGTTGTGTCGTTTCGGGCCTTGCAGGTTGTATTGCAGCACCGTACAGTATGGGGGGCAGGAACTGGCTGGCAAGCAAACCCATGATGCATCAGGTCATTGACAGCTGACGGCAGGTGAAATGACATGGTGTCTCCGTGCGGGTGGCCGCACAGTGGAGACGGAGGCTGCCACGCGCGGACGATCGCGAGTCGCTCGCGCTGTTGGGTCGCTTGCCTATAATGCAGAAACGTATTGGAGTGACGCCGTGTTCGTCTTTTGTCTCTTTCTTGGAAAACCGACCAAGCATGATATACAAGCCCTGTCAATTTGGGAGTTCCGCGTCTTGGAGAAATCTCGCCTGGGGAAGTGGTCGAATTGACGCATCGAACTTGATGCGTGCTTTGGGGATGTGGGCTGTGTCTGTACAACCTTTTTCGAGTACGTCTCTTCCCTTTGGTGCCAGGGGCAGAGGATTCCTGGTGAATCTGGGAGAAGGTCTGAATCTTCATCATGCCCACAGGATTCCTTGAGGTTTCAAGAGTTGGGACTTCACCTCCAAGGTTGCTGGATATGATTCTTCATGACCGCAGGATTCGGGCCCAAGAAGATTCTCATGTGTGGACTGATCCAACTATTGGAGTGCCAAGTGGAAGAATGTGTGCTGAAGAACCCGGATCCCGGATGTTGCACCCTCCCCCAGCCACTCTGGAGCACCCGAACCACCGATTCGGCTCCGGAGGCCGACCTGCTGAAACCCTTGGACCCGCCGCTGAAGGGCGAAGATTTGGAAGAGCTGATGTTCCCCCAGGCACCCGACGCAGCCGAGCCCTGCTTGGAGCCTTTGGTCACCCTGAAGGAAGCCATCTACCTAACAGCCCCCCCTCAACATGAGGATGTCCATCAGGAAAACCACAAACAAATATGACTTTCACCACTAGATGGAATAGCTTACCCGTGGTTATTTTGGTGCCAGGAATTAGCATTTGAACTGTTCTTGCTACCTGTCCACATGCAACCTGATGTTTCGGGGTCCTGGAAGACCATTTTCCTTGGACATTGGCCATTTGGATTCCAAGTGAGGCACCTTGTATTTTGGCTCACATCGGATCGGTGAACTGGTTCTAGGTCCCCCAGCTAGGTGCCCGCTCGTTCATCCCTTTTTTGGTTGGGAGGGTTCGGGACCCTACTAAAATAGAAGAATCAGAAAAAAAATGGTACCCTTATTCTAACCTCTCTACTGGAGGACCTAGGTTTCCTTTGGAATCCATCCGCCAAGTTTAACGATCGCCCCACAGCAGCCACACAAATGCATCGGCAAATCGACTGACATGACGGTCCAAGGCGAGATTGCCTTCGGAAGGATCGAACATAGTAGAAACTCCTCTTCTGAAGGTACCTTGTTGGATGGCTTTAAAGGGATACCCATTTTAGGGGCTTCATGTCCTATTTTGAGACAAACCCATTTCCAGGCATTGCTTCTTTCAGGATCTTTCAGGTCTTTGCTCGGCCGTTTTCGACATGGTCAATCTGAGCGTAGTGCACATGTGGGTATGGGTCAAAATTAAACCACCAGGGGACCGCACGTTTCAGTCAATGCTTCCATTTACCAGGGTTCCATTCTGGGTACCTATTTTTGACCCACAGCCATGTGGACTTAGAAAGTCTTGAGTGGTCAATGTCCTCACCACCAGCACAGGGCATTGGGACACGCGAGCCCCGAACTGCCCCTCGGACTCGGGTGGGGGAGTTGCTCGGCAAGTTTCTCATTTGCTTCAGCTTTCATAGAGACGCAATTCATGACAGGCTCTCATTTAAGACTACAGCTGTAATAGAGTATGGGATTGCAACTTGACTCTCCTGGAGCAGTTGCTGGGATTCACGGTACTTGTGAGTTCTGTTCGCCCTCACTGTATATATAGAATATACATACCTGCTGTACATGTTGCAGATGTATGCTTGTATATATAGTTGTTTTTTTTACATACATGCATTTGTGTCCATGAATACAGATGGGCCGGAGGCCTTTCTGCCGCGGGGCGCAGACTCGGAATCAGGCGGGGCAGATCTGGGTTTGGATTCTGCGCTGCGAAGCGGCACAATTCCCCGCCATGTTGGTTTAGTAGTCCCTTTGCTTTTCCGTGGCCCACATAAGGGAATTGTGCCAGGTACTTTCTCGCTTTCTCGCTGGTGTGGTTAGAATGCGGCTGTTGGATACTTGCGAGCCAAGGCCATGTTCAGAAGAGAAGTATATATATGGAATTATGTAGCCGCAAGCAAATACCAACATGTTGTGAGGTTGCGGCAGATCTTAGGCAAGTCCTTATAGCAGGTTGTCAACCATTGTGGTTTCAGTTGTTTTGTTTTGATTGGTGGTTCCTTTGGATACCACAGGTGTAAATGCATGTGGGGTTGCCAAAAGTTTTGATTTTCAGCTCAGGAGTCCCTTGAATTTCTCACGGGGTCCAAAGGAAGATCCTGGCTGGATATGTACTCTAACCCCTGTCATGGGAACAAACTGTGAACGCACACGTCACCTCTCGCTCAGATGACTTCACTGAGGAGGAGGAAGAGGAGGCTCGACTTTGACCTCGCAAGTGACATAGGATTTGACCCATGGCTCCAGAACCCTCCATGTCTGGACATGCCCCTCCACCAACCTACAGAGGGTACCCTCCCACCATGGAGCCTGACAGGGGGTCCCTTTAACAGCAAAAGGGTCCAAACCAGTACCCCCTACCCCCCCTGTCACGTTCCATATGAATTGGTGGGAGGGTACCAACTCAAAAACGCCAACCACCCACATGTTCTCTCCGGAGGCTGACGCCCAGGAGGCAGACTTGAGAAGCTGTGAGCCCATCACTTGGCGAGACGACTGTGGCAGGTGTTTTCGTTTTGTTTTTGTTTTTTTGTGGTAGGGAACCCTCTGATTGTTCTTTCATTAGAGAAAACCAATAAAACCCGAACAGAAGCCGCAACGGTTTTGAGGGTCCACCACATTGATATTCGTATATGGCTGTGGGTCAAAACCCTGTACCCCTGGTGAACATCAAACTAGGTGGGCAAATGGATGTTCATCCACCCCAAAATGGAGCCATAGGTTATGCCCCATGGCCATATAGTTTTGTCTCCCAACCGGTGACCCTCAACATGGCACGCCTACGAAACTGCCTCGCACCGCCAGCCCAGCCGAGGCAGGAGAAGCCACAGGCGCCTTTTGCGCCTATTGTTGTGTCTCACCGATCTTGCTGGTTCGATCGGCAGGGAATGGGACATGGCATGAGCCCCACGAAAAAGCCATGCCCATGGTTGTTGTTGGGAAACATATTTTACATTCTACATGTTTGCTTATTGTGGTTTGGTGGAAAATCCCCACTTAACTGCTAAAAATCATGTTTTGCTCCCCTTCCAACGTCAACCAAGTTCAGGGCATCCACCCAGAACCGGTTTGTTTTCAACACCCGGAACGGTCACTCATTTCCCGACCTCTCGCACCAGCATGGGCGAAACAAAGACTTTGGCACCTGGCATGAAGTCAGCGCAGGTTGGCAAAGAGGACAAAGACAGGACGGGCGTTGATTGGTTCTTTCACCTCGTAGGGATATGGCTGTGGCTCAAAAAACCCGGTACCCAAAACGGATCCCTGGCAAGTGGAAGCATGCACCAAAACCTGCGTAACCCCTCCTGTTTAAGTTTGAGCCACAGCCATATTGGAGATTGGGGTTGAGATCCCCCCTACCTTAAGAATAGAATTGAGGGGGTGGGTAAGGTCTATAAAATAAAGCTCCTGGGGCTTCAAAATACGCCAAATGTCTGGGGCTTCCATGGGTTGAGCTTCCCGCTTTTCATGCCAAAGAGACTTCCCTAGTTTCGGCACGGATGAGAACCAGATACTAGGGAAAGGGCCTACTTGATGGTTGTTAGGGCGTGTGCTGTTTTTAGGGGACCCCCACAAAGAAAACAAGAAGTGGTGTTCCTTTCGGTGTCCCTTTCAAACCACCCAATCAAAGAGTGCCAACTCAAAGAAAAGACGAGCCGCCCGTTCGGAGACGTTCAATTTTTGGGGATAATAGCCCAAACCTGGGGGGCCCTTTGGGCTTCCCTCGGAGGTTCATGTCACAATAGGTTCGAGTGAGTAATCAGCTGGCACGTGGAACTCCAATGGGCAACCCCCATTCCCTAGTTACAATCTCCATATCCAGAATCCAACTCAATGGGGTGCGTCTATGTGTTTGAGAAACAAACCTCTTTTTTTTGGCGGGTTTTAAGGGGAACCAAAAGGAACCCCCCTAAACAAGATACACCCCTTGGTCAGGGAAACGAACAGGGATACAGGGGGAACCAGGGATACGGGATTCGCCCTAAATGCACCTTGACTAATGGGAAATGGTGCCAAGGGAATCCGCCCATATCGGGACCCGCTCCCTCCGTATCCCTGCTTGTTCGTTTGTCCAACTTGGGGTCACGCTCCGGTTTCGATCGGCGCTCCGGTTTCGAGCAGCGCTCGCAGGGAACCCAAGCGTCGCAAGCTTCAAAGGCCGATGGATCGATCGCCGGCGTTTGTTTTTGCGTTTCAATACCACCAGCTGGGTGGCCCGTCTTTTCTGGAGGGTAAAATTGCTTGTTTTTTTGGTGGCGTTCAAGGAAGCCAAGAGGAACACCATTGCGCCATGTTGCGGGGGTCCCCAAAAAAGAGGCGCCCAATTAATACGAAGGAAACAGCATATGTATATATATATATATATAAACACGAGCACCCGGCTCCCCATTGCCATGCCCAAAATCCCATCAGGCAAAGAAGCCGTTGGGGGATTCTGTTACCCTATAAAACGCGCATGTCAAATGTTGAGCGCTTTGGATTTGACCACCCTTCGTGTCATGATTTGTGCTTCCAGGTGTCAAAAGGGCTTTTGGGGGTTGCTGTACCGACAGTGTGTCCCAGTTGGTAGGTGACTTGTTCCAGTTTCAGCGGGGTTTCATTTGTCCCAACTGGTCCAACGGGTGTAGGATGCTGTCCGTCCCAAGAAAAAAGGCTCACATTCTGAGCTCCCATCGTGGTGCAAAGAAACGTTCATTGGATCACGGCCGTGGATCGCTAGGCCGGCAGAGAAGGACAAGGTTGCAGGCGGGTGCCGCTGGAGCAAGTTTTCAGACCTCGACCCGCGCCCCCCAAATTTTGGATGATATCACCTACACCTTTGGCCACTTGGCAGCCGGGCTGCCAGCGTTTTGTTTTGTCCCCCTTTTTTTTCATGGGGGTGGACATAGCTTGTTTCAGACACTTGCCCAGATCCTTTCAAACATTTGGGCGCTGGCGATGCGTGAAACGGTCCTTCTGCTTTGTTTCGAGCGGTTCTTGAAGGGCAGGACACAGTTTGTTCCACACACCCCTCCAAGTGATTCCATTTCCACCTCTTGGTGGTTCCCGGCCACCTGCCTTTGGTTTTGTGTGGTTCTTAGTTGGTTTAGTGGTGGTTTTCCACCTTGAACCCAGAAGCGAAGCTCACTTTTCGCAGGAAACAGCCTAGATCTTGAAATGCCAAGGGCTTCCCCCAAAAAACATGAGCCACTATCAAAACCCGGGTAGATGAAGGTTAGTAAGGGACGATCCCAACCATAAATAGCCGCGGATATTCGCCTTCTTAATTCTTGAAGTATGGTTCTGGGGATCGACCATTTCAATACCGGGGTTTTGATTCTGACTCACCTGGATGCGACCCCCCAGCGACCCCCCAAAACCTCTCAATGAGGCCTGAGGTTTGTTCGGGGATGGGGGATCCGGGCGCCTGGGCCTTGGAATTTCAGTCCCCGTCCCTCAGGCCGCGTCTCCAAGAAGAAGGCGCTGCAGGCCACGGGGGGTTTTGACTCTTAGAACCATACCCAGCCATCCGGTTCCTTATGTCCTTAGTGGTTTTTTAGTTGGTTTAGTGGTTGAGTGTCATTTTACCCCAGAATATGTTTTTTTTGTTTCTAGCATTTAATTTGGTGGTTGGCTGTCCATTTAGCCCAGATTTTTTTTTAAAAAAACATTTAGTTGGTTTAGTGGTTGCGTGTCATTTTACCCCAGAATATGTGTTTTGTTTTTAGCATTTAGTTGATTTAGTGGTTGGGTGTCCATTTAGCCCAGAATATGTTTTTTAGCATTTAGTTGGTTTAGTGGTTGCGTGTCATTTTACCCCAGAATATGTTTTGTTTTTTGTTTTTAGCATTTAGTTGATTTAGTGGTTGGGTGTCCATTTAGCCCAGAATATGTTTTTTAGCATTTAGTTGGTTTAGTGGTTGCGTGTCATTTTACCCCAGAATATTTTTTTGTTTTTAGCATTTAGTTGGTTTAGTGGTTGAAGGTCGTTTTAGCCCAGAATATGTTTTGTAGCATTTAGTTGGTTTAGGGATTGAGTGTCATTTTACCCCATAATATGTGTTTTTTGTTTTAGCATTTAGTTGATTTAGTGGTTGGGTGTCCATTTAGCCCAGAATATGTTTTTTAGCATTTAGTTGGTTTAGTGGTTGAGTGTTATTTTACCCCATAATATGTTTTTTGTTTTTAGCATTTAGTTGGTTTAGTGGTTGAAGGTCGTTTTAGCCCAGAATATGTTGTTTAGCATTTAGTTGGTTTAATGGTTGAGTGTCATTTTACCCAATAATATGTTTTGTTTTTTCTGTTTTACCCATTTAGTTGATTTAGTGGTTGGGTGTCATTTTACCCCAGAATATGTGTTTTGTTTTTAGCATTTAGTTGGTTTAGTGGTTGCGTGTCATTTTACCCCAGAATATTTTTTTGTTTTTAGCATTTGGTTGATTTAGTGGTTGGGTGTCCATTTAGCCCAGAATATTTTTGTAGCATTTAGTTGGTTTATTGGTTGAGTGTCATTTTACCCCATATTTTTTTTTTTTTTTAGCATTTAGTTGATTTAGTGGTTGGGTGTCCATTTAGCCCAGAGTATGTTTTTAGCATTTAGTTGGTTTAGTGGTTGAAGGTCGTTTTAGCCCAGAATATGTTGTTTAGCATTTAGTTGGTTTAGTGGTTGAGTGTCATTTTACCCCAGAATATGTTTTTTTGTTTTACCCATTTAGTTGATTTAGTGGTTGGGTGTCCATTTAGCCCAGAATATGTTGTTTAGCATTTAGTTGGTTTAGTGGTTGAGTGTTATTTTACCCCAGAATATGTTTTTTGTTTTCGCATTTAGTTGATTTAGTGGTTGGGTGTCCATTTAGCCCAGAATATGTGTTTTAGCATTTAGTTGGTTTAGTGGTTGAGTGTTATTTTACCCCAGAATATGTTTTTTGTTTTCGCATTTAGTTGATTTAGTGGTTGGGTGTCCATTTAGCCCAGAATATGTGTTTTAGCATTTAGTTGGTTTAGTGGTTGAGTGTCATTTTACCCCAGAATATGTTTTTTTTTGGTTTTTAGCATTTAGTTGATTTAGTGGTTGGGTGTCCATTTAGCCCAGAATATGTTTTTTAGCATTTAGTTGGTTTAGTGGTTGAAGGTTGTTTTAGCCCAGAATATGTTGTTTAGCATTTAGTTGGTTCAATGGTTGAGTGTCATTTTACCCCAGAATATGTTGTTGTTGTTGTTGTTGTTGTTTTACCCATTTAGTTGATTTAGTGGTTGGGTGTCCATTTAGCCCAGAATATGTTTTTTAGCATTTAGTTGGTTTAGTGGTTGAGTGTTATTTTACCCCAGAATATGTTTTTTGTTTTTAGCATTTAGTTGGTTTAGTGGTTGAAGGTCGTTTTAGCCCAGAATATGTTGTTTAGCATTTAGTTGGTTTAATGGTTGAGTGTCATTTTACCCCATAATATGTTTTGTTTTTTCTGTTTTACCCATTTAGTTGATTTAGTGGTTGGGTGTTCATTTAGCCCAGAATATGTTTTTTAGCATTTAGTTGGTTTAGTGGTTGAGTGTTATTTTACCCCAGAATATGTTTTCTTCCCCAAACAGCGAAGCATTGGGGTTCTAACTTGAGGTATAGAGAATGGGAAAGTGTGACGCCGATTCCGGGGTCCTGTTTTCTGCTTGTCTTCCTGTTTCCCAGTCTCTCCGGTCAGATGCCAGATGCTGTGACGCCGGCTCCATGGTCGTGTCTCCCGCTTGTCCCTGTCTCTCCCAGTCTCTGCGGTCAGATGCCAGATGCTGTGACACCGGCTTGTCTCCCTGTGTCTGCCAGTCTCTGCCAGATGCTGTGACGCCGGCTCCGGGGTGGTGTCCCAGTCTCTGCGGTCAGATGCCAGATGCTGTGACGCGTCTCGCGCTGTCTCCCTGTGTCTCCCAAAGTCTCTGCGGTCAGATGCCAGATGCTGTGACGCTGGCTCAGGGGTGGTGTCTCCCGCTTGTCTCCCTATTTCTCCCAGTCTCTGCGATCAGATGCCAGATGCTGTGACGCCGGCTCAGGGGTCGTGTTTCCCGCTTGGCTCCCTGTCTCCCAGTCTCTCCACAGATGCTGTGACGCTGACTGCGGGGTCGTGTCTCCCACTTGTCTCCCTGTGTCTCGCAAGGTCTCTGCGGTCAGATGCCAGATACTGTGACGCTGGCTGCGGGGTCGTGTCTCCCGCTTGTCTCCCTGTGTCTCCCAGTCTCTGCGATCAGATGCCAGATGCTGTGACGCCGGCTCAGGGGTCGTGTCTCCCGCTTGTCTCCCTGTCTCCCAGTCTCTCCATAGATGCTGTGACGCTGACTGCGGGGTCGTGTCTCCCACTTGTCTCCCTGTGTCTCGCAAGGTCTCTGCGGTCAGATGCCAGATGCTGTGACGCTGGCTGCAGGGTCGTGTCTCCCGCTTGTCTCCCTGTGTCTCCCAGTCTCTGCGGTCAGATGCTAGATGTCGTGTCTCCCGCTTGCCCCCTTTGTTTCCCAGTCTCTGCGGTCAGATGTCGTGTCTCCCGCTTGCCTCCCTGTCTCCCAGTTTCTCATTGAAAGGCCAGATGCTGTGACTGCGGGGTCGTCTCCCTGTGTCTCTCAAGGTCTCTGCGGTCAGGCGCCAGAAGCTGTGACGCTGGCTCCGGGTCGTGCCTCCTGTCTCCCAGTCTCTGCGGTTGGCTGTTTGTTTAATGCTTACAGCCCTCAACAGGGTCCCGGGCAAAACCAACTGAAGCTGCTTCTTCTTTGCGAGTTTTGGGGATGCAGCTGGCGGCTTTCCTGCTTACAGCCCTCAGCAGGAAAAATGAAGGTCCTGGGCAAAACCAACTGAACCTGTTTCTTCTTACCCAGTTTTGAGACTGACCTGGCTTGCTTGGCATCCAGTAACCGGCTTTCGGCTCCCTTCGGCTCCCTTCGGCTCACGTGGCAGCAGCTCGCAAGCGCAATTAAGAAGCATCAAGCTAGAAACATAGATTCGACAAGTCAGCAGGAATCACTTGCAACAATGCTTCGCAACGGGGAAAGGGCATGTCGCAGATTTTGCGGTTAGCCTGTGTGCAAAGGATGTGCCTCTCTCTTGGCCCAGCGCAGGTTTGCATCCTTGTGGAGCATCGTTGGAGCTAGAAGCAAGCAATGTCGAGCCTTATTTTTTCTCGATAAACAAACAAATCGTGACATCCGGCTGATTGCTTTGCTCAGGAAACTGAGCTCCTTTTTAGAAGCCAGTGCCGCGCTTCTTGGTCAAGTGCAGGTTTGCATCCCTGTGGCGCACCAGCAGGGGCCTGTCGAGCCTTTAATATGTCTATGTTTCTCGATAAAAAACAAATATTATATAGTGACATCCGGCTGATTGCTTTTAGGAAGCCAGTGCTGCACTTCTTGGTCAAGTGCAGGTTTGCATCCTTGAGGTGCATCAGCAGAGCCCTGCCGAGCCTTAAATATGTAGACTGGTTTCGATAGACAAATACGGCGGACACAGAGCTGCTTTTTGGAAGCCAGCGCTCAAGTGCAAGTTTGCATCCTTGTGGCGCATGCTGAGCTCGAGCCTTAAATGCTTGGTCAAGTGCAGGTTTGCATCCTTGTGGCGCATCAGCTGAACAAATACCATGACATCCGGCTGATACTGAGCTGTGGAAGCCAGCGCCGCACTTCTTGGTCAAGCACAAGTTTGCATCTTGTGGCGTATGAGCAGGGCCCCTGTGTCCATTTTCTTGATAACCAAATATACATCCGCCTGATTGCTTTGCTCAGGATTCTGAGCTGCTTTTTGGAAGCCAGTGCCGCACTTCTTGGCCAAGTGCAAGTTTGCATCCTTGTGTGGCGCATCAGCAGAGATCTGTCAAGCCTTAAAATATGTACTGTTGTTCTCGATAAACAAATACCGTGACATCCGCCTGATTGCTTTGCCCAGAATTCTGAGCTGCTTTTTGAAAGCACTTCTTAGCCAAGCGCAGGTTTGCATCCTTGTGGCGCATCAGAGCTGTCGAGCCTTAAATCTGTATATTGTTCTCGATAAACAAATATACCGTGACATCTGCCTGATTGCTTTGCTCAGGCTTCCGAGCTTCTTTTTGGAAGCCAGTGCCGCACTTCTTAGTCAAGTGCAGGTTTCTGGCGCATCAGCAGAGCCTGTCGAGCCTTCCAACAAGAAAGGGTGCTCGAACTACAGTGATGCTACCAAGAGGAGACTAGAAGATGGGTGGCCCGAAAGCATGAGCAGCGCGCGGCGCCAAGTAATCCTAGCAAGTTCTCTGCGCAAGTTCCTCTGAGCAAGTTGTTGGCGCGAGTTCCTTTGATCAAGTTCTCCAGGCAAGTTCTTGGCGCAAATTATCTGAGCAAGTTCTCTCAGCAACTTGAATCCTGAGCAAAGCAATCAGGCGGATGTCACGGTGGCAGGGCTCTGCTGATGCGCCAGAATGCAAACCTGCACTTGACCAACAAGTGCGGCGCTTCCAAAAAGCAGCTCAGAATCCTGAGCAAAGTATTTGTTTCTCGAGAACGAAATGGACACATTTACTGCGACGCTTTTTCCTCACCTATGCAATCCAGTCCCACTGACAAACGAAACGCATTTTGCTGAAGCATTTCACACCTGGCAAGGTCGCAGCTTTGACGTATCTCGCAATCCACGTTCTTTTGAGAGACCTCGACTTGAATTTGGCAGCTCCGTGCGAGATTCTGATTTACTTGCTCGCAGCATACGTGGCTTGTCGGGAAACTAAGCTGGAGGGATGTGCTGATAGCATCAAGACCAACACGTGCTACAGACATGGCCCATCCATTTCTTCTTTGACGACACAGCTTCGCCTCCACTACGCCTTGAACATCGATTCCGAGCGTGGCGAACTCCCTGGTGCTCAATGTGGTGATTGCAACAAGGAGACACGGCCATGGCCATGTTTCGACATGTTCGGTGGCTCTATAATCTAATAAGAGTTTCTAACGCCGCCGCCGTGTTTGATGCTTTCTTTTTGGGGTCCCATCAACAAGAGCCGCTTCGCCAATCGCAGAGTGGCTTGGTGGTTTCCTGGTTACTTGCTCTTGGAGATCTGCTGCTATCGCAGAAAACGACGAGCGAACACACAGTCAAGCAGACGTGCTTTTCATCTTGTTGCATCGTAGGGGGGCGGGTCCGCTCCAAGGTTTTTTCTGACCGGTTTCCAGAAAGAATTGTCCTGGAAGTATAGCCTGGGTGAGTCGGGTCCCCAACCAAACCATTAGCTCGTAAAAGTTGTTTGCGTCGTCCCTGCACTTGTCGAGTTCTCCTCGAAAAACTTGGTTGATGCATAGGAGCTCCTGACAACTTGGAAAGAGTTCACGAACCCGGCCAGTTGACTACAGTGCTGCTGGAGCTGAGTGAACGCAAGGCCCAGAAGTTGTTGCCAGCGGCGTGCGTTGGAATGACGGCCGCCGGTCGTTCACCACACATGTGAACACCAATCTGCGAGCCATAAGCACCAACTCCAAGACGAACCCGGCCAAGCTGGTGGTGTCCACTGTGCAGCCAGCATTGGTAAGTTGGGGCAAAGTTCTCACACGTTTCCGAGATGGAGCAGGGCTGGAGCTGACGTTGAAAGCCAAGCTTGTTCCAGAATGGAGCGGTGTTGGGCGCATGGAGCAAAGCCATGCGTTGGCCATCTTGGGAGCACGCGGCGCGCTGGACACGAAAGAGATGCGCCGTTGGATGACCAAGCTATTGCCGGCTCAAACACTGAGGATTTTCTGGAGCTGTGCCGGGTGACAGAGGTGCGTGCCAAGCGGGCACCTTTGCTGACGCTTGCCAATTTGGCGCGGCGTGTGTCTGCGTTGCTAGGCGAGGATGTCCCGGCCGTAACGCTACAAGGCACAGTCTGCAAGTTTATGCAAGTGCTCTCTTGCTTTGCTTGTGGCAAGACCTTTAGCCGAGCTCGAGAAGAAGATAGCAACCAGAAGTGGCATGTGTCCAGTCTCGGCCGCAAGCTGCTGAGACTGATGCGCAAGTTTCAGCAGAGTAGCGAGACGGCCACCAAATGCTGCGGTGACGGAAAAGCGCATAATTGAGTGTCCGTACTACAAAAGGTCGAAACTTCCTTTGATTAATGTCAGGCGTTAGGTTGATTCACCCCGAATCCCCGGGGCCTTCACTCTCGAACATGGCATGGACATGGAATTTTCTCCCCGAAGTCGATGAACAACATCGATGCTTTTACCCGGCGTCAAGGAGATGGATGGACCCGATGTGTCCTCTTCCCAAAAGAAGGGGACTTCCTGCAGAGACATACATGGACTGATTGTAGCTATGTGTTGCTCACATAAGCTACTCAAGCTCGCGCCTTACATGAAGGAGACAAGCCTTTTTTTTGGGTTATACAGACTTGTCATGCCTTTTTGCTGTTTGGGGTCGAGGCTGGTGTATTTTTTGTTTTTAGCATTTAGTTGATTTAGTGGTTGGGTGCCCACTAGCCCAGAATATGTTGTTTAGCATTGAGTTGGTTTAGTGGCTGAGTGTTAGTTTAGCCCAGTTTTTTTTGTTGATTTAGTGGTTGAGTGCCCATTCAGCCCAGATTTGTTTTTTAGCATTTAGTTGGTTTAGTGTTTCAGTGTCCATTTGGCCCAGAATATGTTTTTTTGCATTTAGTTGATTTAGTGGTTGGGTGTCCATTGAATCCAGAATATGTTTTTTAGCATTTAGTTGGTTTAGTGGTTCAGTGTCCATTATGCCCAGAATATGTTTTTTTAGCGTTTAGTTGGTTTAGTGGTTCAGTGTCCATTTAACCCAGAAGATAGACTTTTAGCAGGGGATCAGAAATCGGACAGCCGAGCTCAACAGGCACTTTTTTGCAGAATACCAACAACCATGGAACCTACGCAGGGGGTCGGGGAAGACCATACTCCTTAGGGGACCGCATGTGCAGGTTCCATGTTTGTTTTTGAGAGGGAATCCTGTAAACGATACCTGCTTTGCTTTTGGATTCGGATGCGGCCAAATTTGTAGGCTTGGGATCCTGTAGTTCCCAGTTCCCTTTTGGGGGAAGACCCCGGCAACACGGAATTGAACAGATGTCCCGTGGCCAATGAACCCCATTCTTTGTTTGGCTTGTGTTTGTCTTGCTGGTGCTTTTTCCGGGAAATTCCAGTTTGGAATACTTGAATGGTTCAGTTTGGGGTTCCCTCATCCGAGAACCAGCACAAAGGTTGGGGCCACGTCGCCCTTCATCATTGTAAGCCTCATGAGATATTTGCATCCGAGCCCTGGTAATGTTAGCTTTGGATTATTCCAGAGCCCCTAGTCAGAGAATCCTAAACTTCACTGTTGTTTGCATGTGATTAGGTTTTTAGGTTTTCTCGTGCCAAAAAAGACAAAGTCTGTTGCTACCATACCAAGGCTTGTAAAGGAGAGCACCCCAGATTACGGTCCTCCGCAGTCTGAAGTCAACAAATTTGGGTGTGCCGTTTTGTTTTTTGTTTTTTTTGTTTTTTTTTTGGGGGGGGGGTGATTCTGCAGCGACGCAGGCCTTGTTCGAGGAGGCCGAAATCCGCACAGATTTTGAGCCGGGAGGGTGCCTTGGTACCGGTAACTTCGGACTTGAACTCCAGGTTCTTGTAGAGGGGAGCTCGGAAACCCCTTCTTAGCCACCAAACCACCCGGCTCCAGACCACCCTTTTTGAGGGAAGCTGAATACTCGACGCGTACAGAGAAAAAAGGCAGGAGTCACCCTTTCAGCCGTTTCGCTATCTCTGGGGTTTTACATGGTGTGCGTTTGGTTAATTACCGCCTGGAGTCAGTTGTCCAAAGCAAATCGACCGTTTGACCCTTTTGGTTTTCCCATATCGGCAGCCGTTTTTCCTTCGACTGAATTAGACCAAGCTTTTAGTGGGCCTCCTTGTGCTTGCAGGATGAGAGCGAAGAGGAGTCGCAACCAAAGGATGAGTCGCAAAAGCGCGAGCGCCTGATCCCCAGCAAAAGCGACCTGAAAGAGCGAATGGGAGTCCAGGTCGCTCCGTGTACAATTCCCTCTGGTGGCTTCACTCCAAACGCTCCGCAACTGTTCCCAGACTACCCATCCCTTTTACTTTGGCGGCTTCCCTACTTAAAACGGTCCACCGCAAAACGGGTTCCTTTGCTCTAAGTCACTGACCTAAGGCGATGAACAGATGGAGCGCCTGCTGTTCGACGAGGCGTTGCCCGCTCGCCGCGGGTTTCATTTCTCTGGGCTGAATGCATTCGACACGTAGCTCAAAGGGACCGTTGGGATCCCTCGCCCCTAAACGCCATGACTTCCCTGCCCTTTTCAAGCAAACGAAAAGGTGCAGATTCAAAACAACGCCCGCGCACCCCAAGCAAACATGGATTCCCTTTTTGCGCGCGGGATAGCTACGAATTGGACTCGGGAAGGTAGGGGTTGGCTAAGGGACGATGCGAGAGGACGAGCCAACCCTGGATCCAAGTACAAGCTATTTGCCAGTTAGGGGGGTCATTTCGGTGCCAAACTACCAAAATAAGACCTAAATGAACCTAAATGGATCCCTTGACCAAGCAGGACAGAACATTTGCTCCATGTGTTCTTTGTCAACTTGTGTTTTCCTTGTTTGCTCAGTTGGCGATGCTCATGTGTGGTGCGTTGTGGTTTTTTGCTCACACGGGGGCACCTTCGGGAAGTACTCGAATCCCTGCAGGACAGTGAGGAGGAGACCAACGACCAGGCGGCGAGTCTCGCAGCTCTGCATATGGCTGTGGTTGTCAAAACCAATGGTACCATTTTGGGATAGGTGCACCACCCATTTTATTCTATTTCAGTGGGGATTGGGATGTTCACTGGGGGTACGAGATTTTGACCCATGGCCATATGTCAGCTTGCGAAATCGCCAGGAGTTGAAGAGGAGGCGGCGAGATGAACCAGGCAGGCTTTGTGGCTCACAGGCTTGTATTTGATAGGCTTCCAGGTAGACTTGATCCTGGGGGTGGTTGCTTTGCAAGGGGCAATGCTTGGGTTTAAGTCTACCTATAAAATGAAACCAGCGAATCCATAGGTGTTGTGGAAACGCGCTGAGGAAGCTCTGCGGACCCTGGTTCGGAGGCGCGGGACGTAGGTTGAAATCTGGGAGTGGTCTCTTTGCTTGAGACAGGTGGAAGACCCTCAGAAGGGGTTGCTTTCAAAGGGCAACCAAAAGAACACCAGAGCAGTGTTGGGTTGCTTTCAAAGGAGAGCCAAGAGAAAAGCAGTTCAGGGTGATTTGGAAGAGAAAACAATAAACGAGTAATGTGGGAAAGACTGGCCATATATAGGACTCGTTTGACTACGTCCGGATATGTTCGGCCATGTTTGGTTATGTTCGCCCGCTTGAGACGCTGTGTTGTCATGATTTGGTCATGGTTAGTTAATTGCTAATTGGCCAATCAAATAGGATTCATGCCAGGTATTCCTACGGGCGTCGTGCTAAGACCCATGCATCCAAGCTAACATGCCATGATCTTTCCACAGTGTGCGCGGAAGACACGCAAACGGCGCCAGAAGAGATGCGGAAGGGCAAGGGCTAGTGACATATAAATAAATATATACATATATGTATATATCGCGTGCATGTGTGTGTGTGTGTGCGCGTGTGTCGTAAATAGGGCCAGGGCCAACACAAAACACGCAAACACAAAGGCGCACATGCACGGAAGGAAAGCGGCCGGCGGTCAAACTCGGCGCGCAGAAGACGAGTTTGTGGAGGCCACCTTTCCTCTTGAACCCCTCCACGAAGAAGTGTTCACATCAAAGCTGAGCTCTTTGAGCTCCAGCACACCAGCTCCAGCTACACGTGCTGGTGCGAAATCGGTGAATGAGGGAATGAACCCAGGAATTCGGTCCCCTTAAAGGAAACCAGCAGTTGGATGGCTCATAGGGGTCATTCCCTCATTCCCTGAGCACCAGCAAGGAAAACCGTGAACGAAAGCCAGCAGCAACTTGTTCTTTACATTTCCAATCGGCGGGCTTCCAGCAAAGGTTTGCGGAAGAGTGGCAGTTTTCAGAAGGCGCTTTAGAAGGAGCTTTGCTCATACATGCGGCCTTAACACAGTGACCCACGTGTTCATCGACCTGGTAGCTGAATACTGGTTGCTTTCCGCCAAAAGTGAAGGATTGCCCAACCACAACTACGCGTCTTTCTTTGGTCCCTGCTTGGTGTAGAAGCTCTCTTGCCCCATGCTCATGGCGCTGACATGCGCCGAAGCTCAAGTGTGCCAGTCTAGATCGACCTGGGCAATGAACGCGCCTACCCTCTTTGTTTGCAAGCTGAACTGCGGGTGGTTGATAGGTTCTTGTTCTGATTCATGTCTTGAAAGGCATTTTCCATTTCAACAGCAAAAGCACCTTCTGCTCCACTCTACAGTGTGTCCTCACGAGTTGATCCACTCTTTTGACACTCTTTTGAACTTCATGGCTCGATTCATCCAAAAAGCGACCCTAGTGCCGCTGGTTTGTCTCAAACTAGTGGGAACCCATTTTGGACATCATCTAGAGGGAAACTGGAGCTGCTCACAACGCGGGAGGTGCAATCTTGAATCTTGAAGTGCCCTTTGATTCTTTCTGGGGGCTGAGGGCTCAAATCCATGTTTGCCCTGACCTTGGCGCAAGGCTACCACCAAAGCCCAGCTGCAGGAGTGGATGACGCTAGCGGCTGGAACAGGGAAGGTTTGAGCCGCTGCCTGGGCCAAAACCGTAAAACAACCAAACAACACAAGGCCTTCTCTTCAGACAATTTGCCTCAGAACTAGGGGGGGAAGTAGATGGTTTCTGAACGAGATCGGGGATCTTTAAGAAATGGGGAGTCGGTTCCCGTTTCGCACCAGGCGCTTTGGTCCAAGTCGGAACCTTGCGGGGGAAAACTGAGCCCGCTTCAACGGCACTGGCTGGGTCCGTTTCTGTCTGGCCAGTGACACTTCACGTGGGGACCCGTGGTTTGTAACCAAGTTTTCATGTAAGAAATCCCACCCGCTCCCCCCCAGTAATGTATGGGAGGGGTGCGTGTTTTCTGGAGAGCATGTTGGGTTCGAAGGGGGCACGCTTTTCCCAGTTGTTGTACGTGTAGAACCGCCCCCTGTTGATTCTCCTTGACCATGGCAGCTGGCTATTGAAACATTCGCCCAACCTATTGGCAGCGCCCTCCAATGATCGCTTGTTCAACCACTCACGCGATGTTTTTTGAAAAAGCCGGCGCCCAACCGGAGAACGTGGAAGCCACGTTAGTGTTTGGCAAGTTGGTGGTTAGCCACCTGGGTGAAAATCACCCAACAGCAGGAGGATGGATCCTTGTTTTTTTTTTTGCGATTTGAGCTTTAACCTCTACCCTTTGGGGAAATGGCTAAAATATTCCCTACTGACTGGCAAAACGTGGCTGCTGTGTTGTTCAGGGCGCACTTGAATCAACCTCAGAAGCAAACTGGGGTTACTGCTTTGAGAATTCTCTTTGTGGCGTTCCTAAGGGAACTCAAGGAAAACACACCTGTATACTTATTGGGTGCGTTGGGAAACCTTAAGCGGAGCTCCGTTTGTTTTTGGGGAGGTCCGTGTTGACACGAACACAACGTGCTGTTTCGCACTTTTCGGTCTATGCTATGCATTGCGTTTTTTGGGGGTTCCCATCTCGCAAACCTTGCGCATGAAGGTTCATCATGTATGAGGCAACACTTAAGAGTAAATGGGTTCGCTTTGGAACACCTCGAAACCCCAACCACCAACCACCAATGAGAGAAGAGCTGAATTTTAGCCTTCGGCCAGGTCGGGCCGCCAAAGAGCGATTCTGAGCGTCTAGCCAAATTCAACTTGGAGCACGACAGCGTCTCCCAGGGCGCACTGCTGGAGGCGCTGCACCAAATCCACAAATCGGCACTAATCGGTGCTTCCCAATTTTAGGATTGGGGTTCTAGGGACCCCTGCCTGAGTCGCAATCACCACCGAATCTGCCATCTTGACTCACGGGTTTGGGTAGACAGGTTTTATATGACAGTTTGAACATGGGTGACAGGGGTAGACCATGGGCTCGGGTTAGAATTCCTTGTGCCCTTTCGACTCACAGGTTTAGGACTCGCTTGTGAGCTTTCCGGAGGCCTTCAGAAGATGTGCTTTGGTTTCCCTCACCCGGAGCTCATGGACTTTATAAACCTTTTTTGGGTTTGGGCGATTTTAGTGGAACACGACAAGTTTGGACCTGTTTTTTTTTGTCCCAACTCAGGAGGTGAGTTTCCCGTACCACAGATTAGAGGGTTATTTTGAGGATGTCAGTTGAATGGACCCAGTTTGGTTCTTTGGTCCCTCGTGCGCCGCAGGGTCAGCTTCCTGAAGTGAGGCGGGCTCGCGCATGTTGGGCAAGCCGACCCGCAGTGGGCAGCTGGAAGGTCCCTACTTGTCCCTTTTTCCGGCTCGTTGGAACATGACTTCCTGGAAAAACTTTGAGATGAGCTTCCCCGTGGCGGGTCCTGTGCGACCTAAAAGTGCAGGTGACCCTCCAGGGGCATTGGGCCAAGCTTGTTCCTTCAAACAGATACCGCGATTATGGGCACCTCCAACCCATACAGCGGCACCCAACAGCGAGGGCGACGTGGCTTTTGATCCATGCAGGTGTAAGAAGGCGCGCCCTGCTTCTTCTTTCTTTGGCTCAGGTGGGAGTTCGAGGTGATCGGCAATAAGCGCTGGCCTGAGCCAGAGAGAGACCGCAATCGACTTCCATTTGCGGTTCAGAATATGCGGTACTCGCCCCTGTTGGTTTCAAAGGGAATCCATCGCATACTGGGCATATTATTATTTGTCCTAGGGGACTTATAATGAACCTCGAACAAATCGTATGTGAAGGTTAGCCAGGGGTTCCTCCAATCAATCACAGATTGTTGGCCGCTCTGTTCATTCTTTACATGTCCATGTCTCTTTTTTCAGAGTACCTTGAGCTGGTTTTACAGCGAAACCAAAAGGAAAACGCCCATTTTGGCGGGTCCAGCATTTTGAGACACATCCATTTGGATCATTTGGTTTGGGGCAGAGCACCGTACCAAGTTTCGCTCTTGCCCTCGATCTACATTGCCAGTGAGTGTGGAACGCAGACAGCCAGTTATGCCCGCGCCTCCTGACTTCATGGGCTTTACAACTCTTTGGGAATACCCCATTTCAGTGGCAAAACGACAGCTTGGACTTTTTCGGCCCACCAACTCAAGTTGGAAAATCCGCTACCAAAGAAAGGGTGTCCGTGTTTTTTTCTGTGGCCAGTGGGCTGCTCAAAAAGAGAGTGCCCCTGCTTTCTCTCATGGCCACGTGTTGCGAAGGAGCACTGATGGGGGCGGTGGGAAAGCTTTACCCACGGAAAGTGGGTACCACGGCAATGTAATTTAGGTTGAGCGAGGACAAAATGCTGCCATGGGGGATCCTCAGAAGCCCCCTGGGATGTTCATTTTGATCCGCCTAACTGGCTCAGATTGACATACGTTGGAGAACCACCCCAGGCTATCCAATATTGACATGGACGAGCAACCATTCGAGAAGGGCCAAGGTGCTTACAAGCCATGAGTTGGCAGGTCCCAGTTCTGAATTTGTCCAAACTCGGACCTTTTACATGTCCTGTTGGATTTCATGTCCGCAATTATTGTCCGCAAATTAGAACCTGCATGCAGTGATCATGGTCCGTTCAAGGCGTTTTGGGCATGGCTTAACAAATGCAAGTAGTGCATTGCCAGAATGCAGCGAGCACATGGCTGAACTGGTTGCATCAAGCTGCCATGCTCACACGCGCTGGTGAAGACTGAGCACCGCCTCGCCGTCCAAGGATTGGAATCCGAGATTCGCCGGACATCACAACAGGATCGGACACAGGCAGGTCCTGTTCCAAATTTGCCCCCCTCCCCCCAACGTCTTGTGTTTGGCCAATGTTCACTGTTGATGACCGCGGCTGGCAGGGGAGTATTTGCGGCCCAACGCCGTCTTCGTCGTCTCGGAGAAAGTGCTAGGTCAGGATGGTAGGAGCGACCCACTGGCGTTAGATCGGCACAGACTTCGAAGAGTGTTCTCACTCACATGAGTCACAATTAAACCCGGATAATTGGAGGGTAGTGACCAGAACTGGGTGCAGCGGCCTTTTTAATCCCGCAGCATGCTTGCCGTGAGAGCGACGCCCTGCATTGAAAACGATTGGCGCAAAAACTCAAAGAGTCGAGAGCAACTTGCGGAGAGAAAGCTGCACAAAGAGCTTGCGCAGAGAAACTTGCACAGAGCGCTTGCGCAGAGAAAAGCCCACCGAGAGCTCGTCCAGAGACACTTGTGGCGATGTTGAGAACTGGCCCGAAAAGACTTGCAAACAGGCTTGAACAGGCAGCTTGTGCGAAACTTGCCCAAAACTTGCATCAAGAACTTGCAATGACAGACTCCAGCAGAGAAGTTCGTGCCGAGAACTTGCGCAGAAGAACTCGTGCAAACAACTAGAGCTAGCGCAGAGAAGTTGCACCCCGGAACTTGCAGAGGACATGTGCTTTTCAGCCCTGAACCATGAAAGGTGTTCAGAGAGAGTGACTGTTGATAGTTTCTAGTAATCCCAGCGCTTCCAGGCCACTCAGGCTTGTCCAGGGGAGACCATCCAATGGAACGATCCCTGGCCAAGCCCTCTATAGTCGCTTGCGTGGAAGCGCTGGGAATGTTGACCCCACTTGCATCAACCCAGATTATAGCCAGTGTCTTCGCCCAACAGTGAAGGCTCCCCTATGAAATGGTCGTAGATTCACAGGACCTACCTCCGGCTGGCAGATGGAAGAGGCGAGTGGCCCAAGTATGACGTTCTAGCTGCTTCATGTAGCCTGAGGATGGGTCTATGACCGCAGCAAGAAGGATGTCAACAAGGCGCTTCCGTTTCTCCACGCTCCGGCGGCACCCCAAAAGTTGGGTGTTTCGCCCTCTGAGAGCCGTTAGGCCCGGCGTCTGTTCTGCTTGGTGCCAACTGGTTTTCGGTGGGCGGGAAAAGCGCTTGCCCCGAAGCTGAGTGGTTTGGAGCCCGGTGGTTCGGATTTGCCTTCGATCGGGTCCAGGGTTTGCGTGGGGTTCACCACTTTCACCACAGATTCGGCTCCAAGCCATCCAACCGAGTGAAGTATAGCGACCTCACACGACCGAATTCACAAATGGTGGTTTATGTGGGGAATATCCCCCGCAACCGCCTTATCTCACCTAGGCGAAATAATACAATCTACCTAGATCCATGGGGTAAACCTCGATTTGCTTAAGAATATGTGTTATTTTCCCTTGTGGGCTTTAAAAGGAATTCATCACTACTGGACGTATTTGTATTATTTTTTTTGGGGGGGGGGCCTAAACCAAATGGGAGGAAACTGCCAGGTGGTGATCCGGGAGAAGCCCATCGCCTCCTGAACGATGGTTGCTGGGACAAAGCTGCTGAAAGTAACTTTGTCCCCAGCGAGCGTGGGAGTTTCTCAAAGTTGGAGGACCCTTCCAGCGGTTGGCCTTCTTTAAAAAAAAAAAATCAAAAAAGCTAAAGGGGGTCCATCATTTTGGAAATTGGGGGTCGCTTCCGCTATTCCAGGGAAACCAACGGAAGACCAACTTTTACCGGTCCCGATTTTCTGAGAAACACCCGATGGGGCCTTCGCACAGGGGAGATCTGTGCCACCACGAGGGGAGGATCGTGCAAATGGGGAAAAAGAGTGAGAAGGCAGCAGCTGTGCAAGTGGTTGTCTCAGCATGACTCGCATACTGGGTCCATTTAAAGTTTGCATGTTGGAAGCTTCACGGCTACTTTTGGAGGCAGATGTGGCTTGTGGCATCCTGTGGAAGGCCATTTTGCTTTTTTTTCACCCTAAACCCACCCAACACCTTTCCAAATCCACCCAAAACGGGCCCAGTAGGGGAACCACGATGTGTCGGCTCACAGCTGGTGGCTATGTTTCCTGGAGCACATGTTTTCGTCCGGCACTCAGCTTGCACGGCCCCAAGAAAGCCATGGGTGTGTCTTTCTTGAGGGTAGCCTCCCTTTGGTGTGTGTGTGTGTGTGTGTTTTTTAGGGCACCAAGGACAGGGGAGCTGCCCATTAAAAGAAAGACTAGATTTTCATTAGGTCCAGAGGAAATAGCGTACACAAGGGAGCGCTCAAATCCAAATTGAGATCCGAAGAAAAAACAAAAAGAAGATCGACTCCCCTCAGGAAAGGCGGACGATTCTCAAAACGCTAAATGGATCGATCGCTCGCCCAGCTTATTTGGATTGTAGTTGGGTTGATTCCCCAATAAACACCCTAATCTTTCAGGTTGTGTGTTAAATGGACCTCACTTGGTAGTGGGCTTCCGGGTCTGTGAGTTTTGATGATTTTCCACTTTCCCAGTCGATTCGAGTTGCCAGTATAGGTAGCCATGTATGTTCCTGTTGGGTTTCAAAGGGTAGTTCCCTTGGTTACCTCTACCGGGAATGAAATCACTTGGTTTGGTTTAAAGGGAAACCAAGAGCCTCGCACCTCCCCCCCTCCCCCAAACCACCCTACGCACTTGGGCCTGAACGCGATGTTCAAATTTGCTTGCAAAGATCTTGCCCAAGAAGTTGAGTGCTGTTGTCATGTATATTTTTCACTTGTCTAATCATTTACTCACAAACTCGAGAAGTTACCCGCATCTATTGGTTTTCGTCGAACGCGCGACATCAATTTGGTGTTACTTCCTCTTCGGCCCATGTTTTCCAAGCTGGGCTCACTTGTCCAAAGCGAATCGACCTTTTGACCTTGAGGTTTTCCCATTTTGGCTACCATTATGAATCATGACTCCAAAAGATGATCACCTTTTATTGCCGCGCCCCGTTTCGGGGCAACTGAGTGGGACAGAAATTGTCAGGTGATTACGAGGGGAAGTGAGCCCGGAAGATCAAATTTCGCGCCTATGAACTGGATGCTCGAACCCAGATAGACATGCCCGATATGTGCAGCCAGCCCATTTGTTCACCTTCAAGGGTGGTTCCCTTGGTTACCTACAAGTAAATGGGTGGCTCGTCATTGTTGGAGTTGGTACTGGCTTGCGAAGGGAAACCAAAAGACAGCCACAATTTGATACCTTAACAAAGGAAGACCCAACCACCATGTTGGGGGGTCCAACCACCATTTTGGGGGGTCCAACCTTGAAAAAGAGAGGTCTCCACTGCCACCTTTTCACAGCTGAGGTGCTGCTTCTGCTGTGGCGAGACCCCAGGTAACATCGTCGCTGCCTTCAGACTCTCTCTCGCTGGATGCATGAAAAGGGGCATGTACAGCTTGCCCCCTGGACCCTCCTGGTTTCTTGGGGCGGCCCACTCAACAATTACCTGTACCAGATGAGAGGATCCCTCTTGTACAGGAAGGGGGCGCATTTGAGGCGCGTTTGGGGCGGTTTGAAGGAAAAACACGAAGGGAACTGACATGAAAGTCCAGGACTTCTTGAATTTTGAGAGCTGCGTGGGTTGTCTCCCTTCAAACCATCATTTTGAGGATCTATATTGGATCGTATCTCTACGTTCGACAAAGACACCCATACACTGACGACTAATGAAGACGTTAAGACCCTCCAATGGAGAACCCTTTGAGCCGACCTTGGGCCCTGAACGCCTATAATTATCCTTTTTGGAGCACCTTGGTTTTTGTTGGAGGGGGGAAAAAGTCTGTCACTATCCGCAGAAACCGTTTTAGAGCCGCGCAAAGGGCGCTCAGAGGTCTGGGTCTTGGTCCTCTAAGGTTGGATGCGTTGATCTCACTCCCGACAACTTGGAGGCCGGGCTCTGAAAATTTGGAGTCTCCCACCGGAAACATGCAGGTCTAGGGCTACCTGGTTCATTCTTCCAGGGATCCGAATCTTTTCAGGAAGCCATCAAACACAGGGAAATCGCTGATTTTGGAAAAGAACGCTGGTTGAAAATAATGAGGAACCAACCTCTAGAACAGGGTAGTATCGCCTTGGCGGCTCCCAGCCCTCCCCATTCGAGGCGGAAATGACCCTGTTTGTCCTTTCCATCGGCGCACATGGGCAACCCAAATCATGAAACCTCATGTTGGTGGTTCCCAGGCATGGTAGTTTCCGCTTCTCCCCCCAGTGAAACTTTTAGCAGGGGATCAGAAAACGGCCAGCCCAGTACGTTGTGTTTGAATGGTTGAGGCAAGACTCCATGTGCACTTGAGTCTGTCTTGGAGAGACGGGGCGAGCGCCAAGGAATTGCAGCTAACTTGCTTGGTGGATCTGCAATGCCAGGAGTTAGCGAGCGCATACGTCCGAAACTTAGCATGTCAGCATGTGTCAGAAAGCGCATGCGCGTTTCCGATTTGCGTTCTCAAGTCTCGCATTCCTCGATTTGACTGCTGCCCAGTGCTTTCAATGTCTGGCAACGAAGGGATTTTATCAGGCTTGGAGGGAAGGATCCCTAGTGGCTTGCCTGCATGGGCCGGTAGACAGAATGTTCTGTCGCTACGTAACGCTTTGGAGTCTATACACCTGGAAAGCGCCCACGAATCTAGTTGTCCACCAAACATATATTTGAGACTCCACTCCCAAAGCTGGCCTAAGGATTGAAGTACCTCACCAAAAAAGGTATTTGAGACTCCACTCCCAAAACTGGCCTAAGGATTGAAGTAGTTTCTAAGGAGATAGTTTCCTTTCGGCGCAGTGCCGAGGAAGTGCCGCCGAACACCTTCGTCTGGCCCCAAGTGCCATCAGTCGACGCTGAAGGGCATTGCGGTTGGGCGTTGAGAGGGCCCTTGGTACCTCCTGATGGCTTTTGGGGGGTCAAAAGGGGTCCAAGTACATCCGTACAAGGTACTTGGACCCTGTTTTCCCAGGGCTTCCAGGCGTTTCGCCACAATAGTAGGCTTGCCCAGAGAAAGTGGCTTGCCTGGAAGCGCGGTTGCGGGTTTTGACACGCCCCTTTGTTTTCTCCACGGGACCAACTGGGCGGCGATCAAACACGGTGACAGCATATCGACGGGCGCGTTCGCACCGTCGTTTGCCCATTTGGGAGTACGGTAAAGGGAATTTCGAGACAAACCGTGAGTGGCTGCGAAGCTTCTTTGAGGGCGCAATGAGCTGTGGTAAGACATGCTTCACTGATTTGAGTAGAGCTTTGGGGACAACCAGAATCGGAAGCTACAAAACGGAAAAAGCTCCTTGGGCTTTGGGCAGATTCTTGTGACATGTTTGTGCTGCACAATACCGCACAAAACACACACACACACTTACCACAAAAAAGCCAAGAAACCAACACGGCACAGGGGCACACACACACACACACACCTCACAGACATACACACACAGACATACACACACAGACATACACATACACATACACATACACATACACATACACATACACATACACATACACATACACATACACATACACATACACATACACATACACATACACATACACACAACACATAGATACATAGATACATGGATACATAGATACGTACCTACCTACCTACATACATACAGTACGTACGTACGTACGTACGTACCTACATACATACATACATACATACATACATACATATATATATATATACACATACATAAAGCACACACTGACAAACACACCCACGCACACACAAGCACAAGCACCTGCGCAAGCACAAGCACAAGCACAAGCACAAGCACAAGCACAAGCACAAGCACACACACAAACACCCACACCCACACACCCACACACCCACACACCCACACACCCACACACCCACACACCCACACACCCACACACCCACACACCCACACACCCACACACCCACACACCCACACACCCCACACACCCACACACCCACACACCCACACACCCACACACCCACACACCCACACACCCGCACCCGCGCACCCGCACACCCGCGCACCCTCACACGCGCACGCGCACGCGAACGCGAACGCGCACGCGCACGCGCACGCGCACGCACACGCACACGCACACGCACACGCACACGCACTCACAAGCACAAGCACAAGCACAAGCACAAGCACAAGCACACGCACAAGCACAAGCACAAGCACACACACACACACACACACAATCACACACAACCACAACGCACACGAAACGCACAGAACACACAGAGCGAGAGAGAGAACGCACACACAGAGAACACACATACAAGCAGAACACGCACGGAACACAGAAAACACAGAACACACACACACACACAACAAATACAATCAAGCAAAACACGCACAGCAACAACACAAACACAAATCACGCACACCCACAACACACACACACACATGTCTGAATTCAGACGCACCCCGCTGCTCCCTGGCGAGGTGGTCCATCTGAAGAGAAGGCCCTCTTGCGTGGTGGGCCTGGATGTGGACAGACTGGATCAACAGGCGCTTTAGACCGGGGAATGAGTTGCCGAAGGGGCCCAGGGGTCACTCAATTTCTCTCAGTTTCCCTTTATGCCCGAGTCAACTGCAGCTTGACTGGAAATCCAGTGGCCGAGCGGACTTTTGGAAAGAAGCGAAAAGACTGCGCCCATCCTTTGAGAAGCGCTGAGAAGGGGGCAGACCTCGCATCAGTTGGAAGTCAGCTGGTTTTGTCCCCACTTCTTCGATAGGGCACGGCTACCCCCCTCTTTCTGGTTTAGCCAAGTCTGGCAGTTCCCACACTCCTGCCTCAGATTCTCTTCGCCCAGGGATTTCCTCGCTGGTTGGGAAGTCGGTTGGTTTTTGTTTTTTCAAAACACCGTTGATTCGAAGGATCCCATTCTTCAGGGGTGGGGGGGGCACATTTGGTCCATCCCGAGATGTTCCCAGCACATGCCTAAGATCACTGATCCAGCTACACGGAAGCCTCCAGTTGGGCTCCAACCAATTTTATCTGAAACTCCCACAGCCTTTGTTTCCTTTACAGAAACTTTGGTTTCCCTTTCAACCTCTTTGTGGGGCCTGGCAGCCTGGCATGAGTCAATGTTGCGCCAAACATCGGACACCCGAAGGCAGTTTTCATGCTTGCGCTTTCAAGGATCATGATGCCATACTTCTCGCTCACAATGCCATGTCTCTCCGAACAGGAACCGTGACAGCATCACTTTTAGTGTCGCTGAATGTATTCTAAGGGCCGGGTTTATTGTATACAATGGCAATCTCAGGGTCAGCGGTATTCTAGATATTTTAGCCAGGTTTGGTATACACAATGGTGGTCCACTGCGACCCCCACCGTTGACCCCGCATTCGGCCCAGAATCTCATGGTCCTCAAGACTCAGCCGGGCCTGGTGTCGGAGTACAACAAGACGGCGCCGCAAGAGCAGGCCGCGAAGTCAGATTTATGGGCCCTCGGGCCCTGTCCCTAAGCTTGATTTCGGGACCCATAGCTGGAATCAACCCAAAAAGGTTCCCCCTGGTTTTACAGCACGCAAGTTGGAGTTTGGCAGATAGACCGGCCTGTCCCGGCTTCTCTTCAAAGCCATATCCGAAAAGGTGAACCTCAACAAACTTGCATCCAAATAAACCACCAAACAAGTATGTGTGCTGCTTTTGTGTCGGCCACCGGGCAAGTACATTTTGCTTGACCCGCCCAGTGGGGAAGCCTGGTTCCATGTGTGTTGATTACCCCAAGGTAGACTTGCAGGGGGTGAGAATTCAGGGGAACCTCTGGGTTCAAGTCATCCTCATAGGTGTCCTTTTTGGTTGTTTTGGTCGAAAAATAGATGGCCCTGGTTTAATCATCTACCAGGGCCATCTGTTTGCCCCAAAAGGACACCTATGGTCATCCTTGGCAGCACAACCTGAAACCCGGCGCAAAGTCTCACAAGATTATACGGGGAACCTCTGGGTTCAAATTTTCTTTGGGCCCAACCTGAGACCCGGCGCAAAGTCTCACATCCTGGCAAGTGTTCTTTGGGCACAACGTGGATCTGGCGCAAAATCCCACAAGATTGGCCAGGTGATCCGGAAGGGGGACCGGATTCGCAAGGTGAACGGGAAGTCCGGGCGCGCGGATGCTGCTCGGCGTTTGGCGAAGACGAGCGCACTGATTCGGGAGGGGCCGGGTGAACCGGCGTGAAACGGGCTGGGCCATGACGAAGGCCCGAGATCCCTTATTTCCGGGTTTAAAGACTTCTCAAAAGTTGCGCACGTCCACGTGTTTTGAGTAGCTGAGTCCTTATTCTCGCAGTGTTGGTTCAATGGGCTGGTCATCAAAGAGTAGAGGGATCCCTAGCATTCATTAGCATTCCATCCTTTCCATGGTCCTTCGTGTCAGGCCTAGAGAAATGGCTGCCCCCGTAAGGTCCAGGAGCTGATGTGGCATCTTGGTCTGATGACATTTGCCCTGAAAGAGGCAGATTAACTAGGTCCCCCAGCAGTGCCCTTATACCTTTTTGTTTTTTTCTTCGGGGTAGGGTTCTCCTGCTTTTAAAATAGACTGCAGAAAATGGGGTACCTTTATTCTGACCTCTCTACTGAGGTGCTGCAGTTTTGCAAAGCCCTCCCATTAGTCTAACTCGTGTCTACCTAGAGTCTCCATGACCCCTAGAAAAAGGGTCATACCCCCTCAATTTTGGGTTGTGACCCCATTTTAAATGGGTCATGGAGACTCCAGGTATGACGATTGAAGGGAGGGTAGCTTCATAAAGTCCAGAGGGACCATACGACTGGCTGTCATGTGCAGGGTTGTCAAGCATATGGCCCGCGCAGAAGACAGTTCTTGAAGGTGAATAGTGATGACATAATGCTGGGCTGGTTGAAACCTGGATGCCAAAAGGTCAATGGGATGTTGCTGAAATGGCTCATTTCTGCATGGAAGGTGTCCTACCCCTGAAAAGCAAACATGGAGGTTGAGAGTTGGACTCAGAAAAATCAAAAAGAAAACCACGCCTTTGGTTTCCCGCTCTTTTACCGTGTAACTTGGGCTGACACGTTGGGCTGGGCTTCAGCTGAGGAGTTGCTGGCGTATCTGACCTTGGAGGGAAAGCTGGACCTGGAAGTCCAGCACTGCCAGGAGAGCGGAGTGTGGAGTCCGGAGTCCGGAGCTCCTTCGTCTTGGCTCTTTTCTTTTTTTGGCGAAGGGGGGGGGGGGACGGTTCATGGAAATGGAAACCAAAAAGACGGCGGATTCCGGATCACCTTCCTTCCTTTTTTTTGCGAAGGGGGGGGAGCCCCATGGAAATGACAACCAACAGCACACTTCCACCGCTTTTCTTCGTCTTTTGTTTTGGGTTTGCTACCCACTGGTGCCTTTCCCCGCCCGCTATGGCAGAGAGGGTTGGGGAATGAAGCTATGAAGCTATAAAGGTTTTATTTTTTTTTGCCCAGAGGCTCCTGGCTTCGGCTTATGGAAGACCCGACCCCTCCATTGGACCCCCCTGGAGGTGGTTGGGGGTCTGAACACCAGGCTCTTTGAAGCCCCCAAGTCAACCGGGAGCCTCTGGGTGGCGAAGGGGGTGGAAGCACTCAGCCGTTTGTGGTGAGAGCGGATGCCGGATCTCGTCAGTTCCTTTTTGAGGCGAAGGGCGGCATGGGGAACCCAAAGCTTGGTGGTCTTTTGTTTGTAAGACATACGATCAGCGCCCCAAACTGAACTCAGCGTTGCGTTTGCTATGCACGTGCTCTTGTATGAAGCTTACTTTCGCCAATATGTCAACAGAGTTTTGGGGGTCTCCTTAAAGGGTTTCAGGGCCATGCAAAAAAAAGCACTTTTCCTGAGGCACTCCTTAGCTGCTGGTTGGGATTGAATTTGAACCCCTGGCCTTTGGAAACGGAAACGGGGGAAAACAAAAACCCTCCATTTCACCACCAAACCACCGATTCGGCTCCAAACCAAGAGGGATTTCCAAGCTCAAAGGAAACCACCTGAGCCCAGTGCTTCCGATTGGTGCTCCGCCATAAGCTTGCAACCAGCGGAAACCATCTGTAAAACCTACGGGTAAGCATCCAGTCCCTGCTTGCCTACTTTAGTGGCAAAGCGCCAATCGGAAGCACTGGATATCATAGGAACCCTCTATGTTTGGCCTCAAGAGTGGAAGAAAGCGTAGCTTCGCGTTTAGCCTCTCAAGTTTCGTGTACGTTTCTTCCACACATCACCAACTTCATCGCCGGCAGCTTGTGTCGTTGTTTTCATAGTAGTTGATTCTACGAGTTGACATGAGGGGGTAGCATACATACCGCGCATACCTGTATAATATTCATTTGCACAGGCGAATGCACATGCATACGCGATTGAGAACAGGCATCGTTAATATACATGTGTAATACATGCCTTTGCGTTGCATATGTGAGTCTTTGTGTGTATGTACGCAATGTTCTCACGTGTGTAGGTACGTCTGTACGTATATGAGTTCCGTGTCCGTTCCCCAGCTGCCTTTCAGGGTTTGCTTCCCTGCCATTGATCACACATTGTCTTTGCTGGACATCAAATGAAACTTGACCTGCTGCAAACACATATCCATGCAGGCTCTGTGTAGGATGTGAACCCGGCAAACATTGTTGATCCTTTTGCGTGTCGTTCCCTCTTTCCAAGAATCATGGAAGTGGATAGGAGTGCGCAACCAAATGCAACCTATGGTTTTGATTGCTTCACCGTTGTTGGCATGATTTTTTGCTTTTGGGTTTTCCATGGTTCCGTTCATTTTAGTGGGGATCAAACTTTGTTGCTACCATTCCAAGGGTTGTAAAGATTGCTGGACCTTGGTCATGGTGCTCAAATCTTTTTGGATGTTTGGACGGCAGATTTCGTGTGTTCTTTTTACACTGGGGCTTGGAGGACCCTATTGAAAGAGCAACCACTTGGTATCGTGAAATGGTACCAAGTGTCCGGACGCAGGAGTACGAGTTTCACATTGAAAAGAAGGGGAAGACGCTGCTCGGCAGATGGCAGACCGGATCTTCAGTGCGTCCCCCACCTATGTCTCCTCAAAAACTGGGTAAGGCGTTCCGCAAGATTCTTGGGTTACCGAAGGGCGCCATCTTGTTTGTGGGTTTTCCAATGGATGAGAGAATTGGCCCCTCGTTTTTTTGCACAGCCTCCTCAGCATCACTTGGACCAATTGGTGTTGCCCGGTGCATGTTTCTCCTTTCTCCATTGTTTCGGGAGAGTCCTTTGAGATTTTCAGCGCACAGAAAGTGTGTCATTTTCACAATATTTTTCCACAGGTCTGGGTGTGTGCGATTGGACGGACTTAATTGTCCATCTTTTAGCTGTTCAGAGGTTGTAATAGTGATACAACCCAATGACTCGTGGCTTCGTGTCCACATGAACCTAGCCATGGGGAAACACCACAAAGGCACGAGGTTGTTTAGTTGTGTTGTCGCTTCGATGGTCTTCTTACTCAAGGGTCATGGTGGCTCGCACATGTGCCTGATTCGAGTTGCCTCAGAATTCAGGATCTGACATGTGCGCGATTGATTCCCTAGATGTCAAACAAAGTTGCAAGCAGGTGAGCCCAGTTGTCAATAACATTTGGGTGTTTTGCGGTTGCGTTGCTTGTTCATTTGAGTAACCCATGATTTAAGTCACCAGCCTTTGGATAGCCCTGGGTTTTTGATGTGATATATTAGTCCTCCGGGGTGCTGGTTCCGGGGGTCGGGCGATCCTTTCGTAAACTGCTTGGGGTGATTCGGGGGCGCGGGACACACTTGGGAGCGTATCCACTTTTGGGCTGTGCCCAACGAATCTGTTCTGCTTAAATTTGGGCTTACCGATGGGCTCCGGCACTGCAATAGCTAGGATTTCTATAGATCCAAACGTGTCCGCTGTCCGAAGGGGGGTCCATACTTGTCCCGTGTGGTCGTAATTGATCACCCTCCTACCTTCTAAGGTAACTGCCAAGGGACTCATTTCAATCCCTCAAGCGCACCAAAATTGTCAATTTGCGCAACCCCTTCCTGGGTGTGGGGGCCGTTTCGATACCCCAAACTGGGTTTGCGGCAACATTCATGGGTTCGTTTGGTAAAAAATACACAGGTTCCGCTGGTTTAGATGTTTTGTTGTGCCCTTAACAGGGAACCAAATATATGGTTTCCACTGGTTTAGATGGTGTTTTCCCCTGTACCAGGGAAACCCATCTATCTTTCCAGCTGAGATACCCTGTGGCAAAACCCATTGATTTTTCCAATGGCATGCGGTGGGTTGTTCGCGTGGCTTGCCTCAAGATGCGTGTCCGATTGGCACTGCAGGCTGGGGCTTCAGCTCGCAGTCACTGAAAAGGCCGGAAGCCATTCTCAACCCCAAGCGATGTTTCTCCCCAGTTGAACATGAAACCAACAAGCACCCGCAGCATCTTCAGATCAATGTCCTTTTGGGGAAACCAAAACCCTTCTTTGGGTTCCATATTGATTTGTGGAATACTTTGCTATTGGAGTCTACCTGAAGAACTTGTTGGTTGGAAATGCATGGTTTAACGCACTAACCGCCAAGTTACATTTCTTGCCCATGTGGCAATAGCCACAGTTTCGTACATAAACCTTCGCCATGTCTTGCTTTTGAAAGGTGGTTCCCTTGCTTTGCCCAGCGCGGATCCGGGCAGGTTTCAACCAAGTGCCGAATGGCCCTCAAATGACCTTTTGTGCTGCTTAAAAACCAGCCGAGTTTGACAGTTTTGGGTGGTTTTCTGAAAGGATCTAAGATTTGGATCACTGGAAGAATGTTGGAGGTTAGCCCTTACTTGTCAATCCATGGGTAGCCATAGTGTGCGATTATCGAGAAACCCCGTTGACTCTGTACATGTGAGCGTGAAACTCAGTTCCGCCCGAGTTCCACGTTTGATCAGTGTTCGCCCTTGGCACCCCTTGTGAGTGAGCGGAAGATATGTGTATTTTGTACCAATAGTCAACGAGTAAGAGGGGGTACCTTTCCTCCAATCAATATGGAACCTGACCCTTGAAAAGGAACATGGTCCAAACCGGGGCCCCCCAAACGTAATTGGTGGGAGGGTATGTTACAGAATCAAGTGAACACTTGCCTGCTGCCAAAGCCTTTCAGGGCTCGCTGGCGGAGTGCAGTACCTTTGAAACTGAGAAACTAAAGATTCACCCAGTCGTAGGGGGATTTCTACTCAGTGCTTCCAGGCGTTTCGATACAGTGGGGTAAAAGCTAGAGCTAAGGATGGCTTGCAAGTTGACATGAGCTCCCTGCAGAGTTCTAGGGCCAGCGCCTTTTGGGGAAACTTGAGCTCTTTGTGGAATCGGTGCCTTCTATCCATTTTTGGTGTTGTGGCACAACGCGCTGCTTTTCTTGGAATGCTGTCAAAAGGAAGCCGTATTAAAACCATGGCGAACGATCCCGCACTAACAAGAACCCAGGATGAATAAAGCGATTCACAAAGGGGGTGCGCCATGCTGAAGACTTCCTTCACTGCTTTGGAGAAGACGCCCCTATGAACAATCCCTTCAAGTGACAGACTGATCCTGGGGATGGAAATCCCGCATTCATATCGCTGAACTTGATTGTTCCCTGGAATGGTGTTTGAGGTTCTTGTTTCAGACTATTCAAGGGGCCCAAGAAAAGGGCTTCAAAAGCAGCCCATGGGCCGGAAAACGCCACTGGTGACCGATCTCTTTTGGGAACTTCCAACCATTTTGCTGGACTTGAAACTAGAGTGAACAAACACCAACAGGTCACAAATTTTGGGCCCTCCACGGGTTCTTGTGGCCAGGCGTCCTGTCTGACAGTGGAGCGGGTGGAGCCCCATGGCGTGATCGCCAGGTTGATCCTTGGTCTCAAAGTTGGGTTTGCCTCGAAATAGGAATCGGACCCCCAAAACACTTGGTGGTTCCCAGCCATCCACATCCTTACTCTTTGGTTGTTTTTTGGTTTGGTGGTAGGTTCCACTAAACCACTACCTACAGCCCTCCCAAATCTGTGGGGTCCTTCCAGTTTCGTGTGAAATCCATTGGACAACACGCGTGTGAACGGGGACA